CAACTATACTCAAATTATAAAAAATTTTTTTGTAAAGATTTTATTTATTTGACAGAGAGAGAGACACAGCGAGAGAGGGAACACAAGCAAGGGGAGTGGGAGAGGGAGAAGCAGTCTCCCTACTGAGTAAGGAGCCTGATGTGGGGCTTGATCCCAGGACCCTGGGATCATGACCTGAGCTGAAGCCAGACATTTAACCGACTGAGCCACCCAGGTGCCCCCCCTTCTTAAAAAATATTTTATTTACAAATTGTTTTTTTTCATGTAAAATTGTATTTGTGGGGAGCCTGGGTGACTCAGTTGGTTGAGCATTTGATTGTTGATCTCAGTTCAGGTCTTGATCTCAGGGTCATGAGTTCAAACCCGGCACTGGGCTCCATGCTGGGCATGGAGCCTACTTAAAAAAAAATTGTATTTGTAAGATGTATCCGTATTGACATGTAACTCTTGGTTACTTCTTTTTGCTGCCACATGGTAATCTTTCTCTGAATATTCCATGATGGATCCATTCTCCTCTTCATGGACTTTTAGGTTCTAAACTTTTGCTTAAAAAGTCTCCATGATCATTCTGGTACATGTTTTCTTGTGTATATATACATGTATATGTATATGTATATGTATATATGTATAAATAAAACCCCCTGAGTTCTCCGGGGCAGAAACTTGGAAGTGGAATTATTTGGTTATGTGGTATGTGCATCTTCAGCTTTACCAAATTGTTCTTCAAAGTGGAATGCCAACTTACTATTCTACCAGCAGTGTGAGAGTTCCTCAATCTTGGCTATCGTTAGACTGCTTAAATCTTTCTGCAGTCCTGTGAGTATGAACAGTATTTCTTAAGAACAGCAAAGAGAAGACTTGTATTATAGGATATTTAAAGCATGTATGAAAGCAGAGTGATTAGTGCAGTGAACCTCTATGTGTTTTGTCACCCCGATCAACGCATGGCCCTTCTTGTTTTACCTACAACCTTACTCCATCTCCCTTCCCAGGGTTCTAAAGGAATCTAAGATGTCACCCTCTCTTATCTGCAGACACTCATGCATCTCCAGCACTCTTTCATACATGGCCTCGGTAGCATTATCTCACTAAAAAATAAAAACAATCCCTTAATGTTATTAAATTTAGTTTCTCTAGTTGTTTTGTAATATTTTTACATTTGTGTCTTCAAATCAGGATCTAAATAAGGTTCATACATTATAATTGATTTCAGTCTACAGATTCCCTCTGTTTTCCTGTACAACATCTACCTTGTGATGTTAGCAGTCATTAATGATTATTGCCAAAAAAATCCACTCATTCATCAGGAGTTGCAAAATGGTGCTATTCTGTCATTTCTTTTTTGTTTGTTTATCAGCAGGATACCTCTGTAAAGAGAGCTTTTTTCTCTTCAAATAACTGGTTTTCTTGAGATACTGTTAGTAAAGAAAGAAAGGATAAAATTCTTTCCTTTCATTCACCAGCTTTTAAAGCAACTACTTTGTTGCCAGTATCCTCCCAAGGTTATCACTGAGTTTGTTTTAGTTATCTTTATGAACTCATGGGTTTAAACAAATTTGGTGTGTTCCAATCTATTATAGTAATCATTCCAAATGATGCTCAGATTGCTCAACTTTGGCCAGTGGGAACCTCTTTAAGTTGGCTCCTGAATTCTTTTGACACCATCCTGGTAGTCTCTGATAGTTTTCTTACTTTCTGGTGTGACGAGATATTTCACATTCACCTCGTACATTTCTTGCTCCAGACCTGAAACCAGCCATTTCTCTAAGGAGTTCTGGCCACATGGCCATCATCTGCATAACATATACCAAAATTCCAGTTTCTCAGAAAGAAAGCAAGTGTTCATCACACATTGTTTACATAGATAGTTTAGGCAGGGTGAGCCATTTTTATCAAAGAATGGTGGGAATCCTCCTGGAATCTAAATTCCTAGACGCCAGCCTGGGCCCACCTTGCAAGCCAGCCTTTTTAAGGACAATAGTCCGACGCCTGCCGTGTTAACTCTTTTCTGTACAGCTGCCTGTTAGACATTTTGTGGCGATGAAGAGTAAGTAGAAAGTTGGTTAAGGAGTCAGGAGTTCAGAGGAGAGGTTGTGATGGAGGTATACATGTGATAGTCATTAGCGCAGAGAAGGTATTCAGAGCTGGGAGTGAGTGAAGTCACCTAGGGAGTGAGCTCAGAGAGAGACTCAAGGACTGGCCCTTGAGCACGAAGTTGTGGAGATGAGGAGAAGCCAGCAGAGGAGACTGAGAAAGAGCACCTGGTGAAGTAGTACCACGTGGAATGAGAACCAAGAGGGTGTAGTATCCCTAAGGCCAAATAATAGAGTGTTCAAGGAGGGCGAGTTCAGTGGTGTCAGATGCTGCCAGTAGGCTGAGTAAGCTGAAAACGGAGAACTGACTCAGCATGGCCGTGTGGAGGTTACTGGGGACCTTGAAATATGCCGTTTCAGTGGAGTGGTTGGGACCAAAGCTTGATGGGAGTGGGTGTAAGAGAGAATGGGAGAAGAGGGAGTATAGACAGTTCTTTCAAGGAATTTGGCTGCAGAGGGGAGCAGAATGGTTGGAGGGGCAAAGGAGCGGAGGAATAACAACATGAAAAAAATAACAGCATGTCTGTATGTTGATGGAGATTCTCCAATACAGAGAGAGAAATCAATCACCTAGGAGAGAAGGGGAGGAATGTTGGAACCTGAGGAAGAGAAAGTGAGTGAGAGATCTAACGTCTAAGTAAGGAGGCTTCGCCTATAAGCATGGACAGTTCATCCACAGTAACAGGAAGGTGGGCACAGTATCTAATACGACAGGGCTGGGTTGATAGGTCTGTTGGTGAGAGCTTGGAAATGGAGATGGTAGCATGGTCACCAGCTGCACTCGAGGAGTGGGGAAGAGATGCTGCAGATTTAGAGTGGAGAGGTATGGGAGACTTAGCTTAGTGAGTGGATAGGGAAAGATAGATTGTGAGGTACCACCTGGAGGTTAGTGGTAATGAACTTAAAATGAGACTAGTTTTCAGATAAAGGTTTTTTTTTTTTTTCTAGTTACTTCCAGCCATTGGGCTACAGGTGCAGGGTAGGTGGTGATTCAACCAGTGTTTAAGTTCAGCTGGCCAAATACCTTAGCGAGGAGAGCAGTGGAATTAGCCATGTATGCCAAAGAGTGATTTTAACACTGGCCCACGGGATCAAAGCTGGTTAAGGAGGGAAGTGAAGAATGAAGCTGTGAAGATGTGGTGCCTACAATCAGTCGTAGGTCCGCATGTTCAAGGAGTTGCTGAAGTTGTGCATTTAGAGGGACTAAGTAGGAAGATGGGAGAAACTAATCAGAGCACTGAAAGCTTAAAAAATTAGGGAAGGATGTGCAGTTATGGATAATGGGAGAGTTGTGACTCTAAGAACAGGTAACTGGGGTAAGGTGGAGAATACAGTCACTGGAGGAGAGTGGGTCAGGGAGCCAAGAGGCCAGGGGACTGGAAGGATCATCCACATTGACATTGAAATCACAAGAATTATAATCGGAGAAATTATTAGATTTGGAGAAGGTGACAATGAGCAAATCCTCAAGGATGATGAGAGTGACTGGAGATGACAGTTGTCATTTCCTGATGGTTCCCCCTTTCTGTGTACTTCCAGACTTCTTGTACTGCCGATGGACTTTCCATGATGCGGAAACTTCTTACCTTTTTACAAAGGACCCTGTGCTCTGATCAAAAGTCCTTAGTCATGCCACGGTTTTGCCTGACTCTGCCTTGTATAGCCGCTGTTCCTTTTGTTTGAAAGCTCTCAACTGCAGCAGCTCCCTTCCCCAGCAGATGGTCGGTTCCTGTTTATAGTCTGTTGGATTTAGTACATTATTTTCAAAGTATTAGTTTACAGTCACTGTTTTCCTCTCGTTTTGTGTAGGCCAAGAGCCTTATCTGTCTCTTTGTCCCTGAAGCCCTGTGAAAAAGCTCTCAGCAAGCTCTAGGACCAGATCTGGTTCACAAATTCCTTTTGAAAGTCCGTTATTATCGAGTAAATAGGCGTGTGATTCTTCATTTTTTTTTTTAAAGATTTTATTTATTTGACAGAGAGAGACACAGCGAGAGAGGGAACACAAGCAGGGGGAGTGGGAGAGGGAGAAGCAGGCTTCCCGCCGAGTAGGGAGCCCGACGTAGGGCTCAATCCCAGGACCCTGGGATCACGACCTGAGCTGAAGGCAGACGCGTAACGACTGAGCCACCCAGGGTGCTCCCTGATTCTTCATTTTTAATCTCAGTAAATATGATGCTTACTTAGATGTGCTTATGTCAGGTGCCACAGTTAATGACAAAAAGTTTAAATCACAACGGATTCCTTTTCTCCAGATATTACAGAATGACTACTCTTAATCTTTTTATTTGTATTGCAGAGAAGACTGAAAAGTACAGAAGTCACTAGTTGTGCTAACATGGGCCTGAGCACCGATGACACGGTCACTTCTACAGCTTGAAGAGAGAGCCTCAAGTCTCAGTTTTTATTTTCTCTCCCTTCCGGTTGGGGCCTTCTATTTTGGTCTTGGGAATCGGGTTCACAGTTGAATGAAGGAGGCCCCAAAGGTACTGAGATAATCTCTGGAGTAAAGAAAACAGGAAAAGTAAAGGTGACTATAGTATAATGAAACCAATGCTTTCTTTTTCCTTCTCTGCTAACTCATTATTTAAATGTTATTAAACGTCACTTGATGTTGATGTTAGTATACTTAGCTTTATTTTTTTTAGTCTTTTTTTTTAAGTATCTCATTTAATTTATTGAGGAGAGTCTGTATGTGAGGATTTTTGTGGCAATTTTGATTTCTCCTTATGATTTCTTATATATTTTTGAATTTTGTAGTTAAGTGGAATACCAGTATAAATAACCTTTATTAGTTATGTTTTTGATTCATAGTTTATACAACACTTGCTTTTGGCATATTGTTAAGTTAATATCAATGTATAAAAAAATCTAGTGACAAAATACTCATTTTAATTTTTTTCAGAAACTATGAGTGGAGGATCTCAAGTCCACATTTTTTGGGGTGCTCCTGTTGGTCCATTGAACATGACAGTATCACCAGAACCAACTTCTTTAATGTCTACCGAGAACCCTTGGAAAAAAATTCAGCTTTTATACTACCAACATTCTTTACATCTGAGGGACGAAAACTGCACGCATGAAACTCTTGAAGACTATTCAGTTCTAGAAGCTAATGGCCCTCTAGATTTTCCGAATGCTCACTTTTTAACAAACTCTATGGGTGAACCTATTCATGTGAAAGAAGACTCTATAGATTGTATTTCTGAAACACAGACTGTAAAATCTCAGGAGAGTCCCCCTTTAGGAGTGAGAGAGAGAACCAGCTCCAGTGTGCAAATATGTGGATTTAAGGGCAAAGTTCAGCATTTAACGGAAGAAGAAAAGTTTCAAAATCTTCTCAGTGAAAATAAGAAAATTACAGATGAACAGCATAAAGATCAGTCAAATACATGTGGTCAGAACTTTCAGAAAAACTTCTTTCAGTTAGATCATAAGTGTGCAACTACACTAGATTTGGTCTGTAGTATGGAAAAGATTAATGTAGGGCTGGGAGCAATTGAGACAAAGTGTGGGCCAACAGAGCATCATGAGGTACAAAACCAGGGTCTGGAGTTCTTTTCCTCTGACACAGAAGATAAGCCAAGGTCCGAAGCTGTTAGAAAGGTCACAGACCTTAAAATATCTACCGATACTGAATTTCTTACTATAATGACCTCCAGCCAGGTTGCTTTTTTATCTCAAAGGAAGTCTAAAGGACAGAAATGTATCAATAAAGGGCCTGTAAGCGAACCAAAGGCAAGTCATAGGGAAATAAGAATACTTGAAGATAATTTGACTCAGCTTAATGATGACTTCGCAGGAGGATGTGAAAGTGGACAAAATCAAGCACATTCCCTTGAACTCTTTAGTCCTGTTTCTCCTGAAGCAAAAAGTAGTGACACTCACATGGAGTCTGATAAAAATCTCGAAGAAAATAGAGGATCTCAAGCACTTTTCAATTTTGAAGACAAACTGCCACCCAGTGATGTATGTATCGAGTTGTATAGCTCAGGAATGCTGTGTTCCCAACTAAATACCTTCCACAAAAGTTCTGTTAAAAGAAGTTGGATCTCTGAAGACAAGTTGGGCCATTCCAAAGCTCTGTCTAAAGTCTTCCAACCATCCAAGAAAATTAAGTTGTTCTCTGATGCAGGAGATCCTACTGCAACAATGGACCAGAGGAAGGTGTCTAAATTTAAGGGGATTAAAAAAACATCATTAATACAAAATTGTGATTCTAAAAGTCAGAAGTATAATTGTTTAGTCATGGTATTATCTCCATGTCATGTGAAAGAAATAAGTATAAAATCTGGACCAAATTCTGGCTCTAAAGTGCCTTTAGGAATGATTGTGGTAACGGACCAGTCAGGAATTAAGAAGAAGGTCTCTCTGTGGAGGGCTGCAGCATTTTGGGCACTTATAGTGTTTCCTGGAGATATAATTTTGCTCACAGGTAAGGTCCATCATGGGGTAGTGGTAGCTTCAAGCTGTAGGCTTCCCTGACTTCCCCCTTTGCCTCTGCGGGAGGCGGCATGATCGATCCCTTTCCCGTATCCGGCTTTGTCTCCTTACCATCGCCCAGTATCCCGTGTTCCTGCCATTTCTGGGCCTTTGCTCTAGCCCTTCTTAGTTCTGTCCCTCCTTGAGGGAGGCCTTGAAGAAGCCTTCCCTGATTGCTTCTCCATTTCATTCACTATGTTAACATTCAGGTCATATCATCAGGCTCTTTCTTTGTTTCCTTATGGTTTTGGCTACATATATCTTATTTTTAAGTGTTTTCTTGAGCTATATTAGCAGTCTTATGATCAAAGGACAGCGTTTCTACTACTTAAACCCTAATGACGCTGTGCACATCACCTTATTGAGGGGACAGATAGAGAATTTCTATTGTGTTTTTAATTATTAAAATTATACTATCACATTTGGGAATATGGGAAGGAAAAACTGCTGATATTAAAGCAACCTCATATCACCTCCAGTAGAGTTTTGGAGTGTTACCTTCCAGTTATCTTCCCTCTGCTCCTTAAAATGTGTATACATACATATGTAATAGTTGATATTTATTGGGAACTTACTTTGTGTCCAACCCTGTTTTAAGCTTCACATGTATATCAATTCATTGCAACAACTATATAAAGAAGGTACTGATTATTAGCCCATTTTTCACTTTGAGTAAATGGAGACCCAGAAAAGTAAAGCAGTGTACCCAGTTTCACACATCTAGGAAGTGGCAAAGCCAGGATCTCACCTAGACTCTAGAACCCATACTCTTACTATGTAGTTGTAATCATAAAGAGCATCGAGTTTTTATCCTGCTTCTTTCTGACATAAGACATCTAACATTTTTTTTTACATGTTCTTCATTAATTGAAAATAAATACACAGTGTATTAGAGCAGAGACACCAATGATATTAAGGGTGAGTCCCAGACTGGGAGGAAGTTAATTAAGCTCAGTAACCTACCTAAAGAAAGAACGTGGTAGAGAAGAGTGGGTGAGCCTTAGAAGCTTAGAAAAAGACATCAAGGCAGTCATTGGTGGTTCCTACCAAGTGGTTTGCTGGGGGACTGAGAGCCTTGCCTAATATTCCTTAGGTGCTTAGGTAAGAGTCTCAGGTGCATGCTCTCATAAAGAGATATGTGGGATTATAACCGACATGGTTAGCAGAGGCCCATCCCACTGGCAACGTCATCTTATTTGTTGCTGTCAGTTCATCTTGCTCCCGCTATTCTGATTCGGTGCTCACCAAGCAGCCCTTGGCTTACGATTTGGCTTCCCAGGTGTAAAGCTGCCTACATGAGAATCGGCTGCAAATGCTGTTTCTGTGGCAATTAATTTCTCATTGTAAATTAAAAAATGGTGTTGTGTTTTTCGTTTGTCTCATTAACTTGTTTAATGGGAGCTTATGTTGCAGAGCTGAAATCTATTTTTGGGGTGCCAACAAAATCAGATTCCCAGATTATCAGGAGAGAATGGGGCCCTGGACCACGGTTATTTTACCAAGGCCATTACTGTCCCTGGGTGAGCCTCACAGGAAGACTTTTCCTGGCAGATGCAAACTCAAGCCTGCTATCCCTGTGTTTTTTCCTAGTGTCCATACAGTTGTTAGCAACTAGGTAACCTTCTATCAAGTGACTTGACTGGTTTACTTAGCCATTTTCCTATTATAGGATATTTAGATTATTTCTATGAGCACCTTTTAAAAAAATTAGTTTTTTTTTCTGTTTTGCCTTATTTCCTTAGTAAAAAAGTAATCTAGTTCACCAATTTCTGAATAGGTTTCTTTTGTTTGTGTGAGACAGATGGAAACTTAATAGAAAAAAGCGAAATCTATACTTTTCCATTGTCCTAATTAAATACTGAAATTGTATTTACATAGAAATTTATGGGTAAAATCCCATTTTATTTATTTTTATTTTTATTTTTTTTTAAAGATTTTTATTTATTTATTTATTTGAGAGAGAGAGAATGAGAGAGAGCACATGAGATGGGGGGAGGGTCAGAGGGAGAAGCAGACTCCCTGCTGAGCGGGGAGCCCGATGCGGGACTCGATCCAGGGACTCCAGGATCATGACCTGAGCCAAAGGCAGTCGCTTAACCAACTGAGCCACCCAGGCGCCCTAAAATCCCATTTTAATTAACACCATCCAATTGTACATTATTATATCTCCACGTTGGATATTTCATACTGTCTACTGACATACACCCCCAAACTTGACGTGTTTCCGCAGCAGATGTATCCCAGCTCACATTGTGTTCAGTGACATAGCTGACCTTTTGTCATTATACTTGTAGCAATATCATGAAGAGGTGCTGTAAGTAAGGACTGTCTAAGGGAGAGTGTTGGCCAGAGTTCAAAGAGGACCTGGCACTGAACTGTGGAAAACCACAGATTTTCAAGAACAGACAGGAGAGGCCCTAGGGCATATCAGTGAGAGGGAATCAGGAGAGCCAGGAGGCAAGGGCTGGGCCAAGAATTCTACTCCACCCTATCACTACTGATTAGCAAGTCACTAACCCAACCTAGGTTTTACAATCTAGTTTTCTGAAGCCTCTCCTTGAAATCTCTTACTTGTTTCTTTCTGAAGAGCAGGCATCCTGATGGTCAGATGATGAGAAGTCTAGAAGGCTGTGCTTGCTCTTCCTGGCCAGGCAGTGGGGAGCTGCTGAATGCTTTTAAACCAGTCAATGGATCGCATTAATGTTCTTGAGAAATCACTCATTAGCACAGGGGCGGAGGGGGGGCGGAGCGCGGGGGGACACATGGACTGAAGGGGGGAAGGGACCTGTTAGGAGAGAGGGGAATGTATGATATAAAACAGTATTGGCAGGGCCATGGGGAGACTCAAAAGGCAGAGCCAACGGGTGGGGGTTTGGAGACAAAGGTGGGGAAGGAGAGGTAGAAGTCCAGGGATGACTTCACATTTGAATTTACCTGGGGAGTTCCAGAGTGCCAACAAATGAGATGGGTCATATGAGAAGAAGAGCAGGTTTGAGCAATGCTGAGTTTGGGGAGCCCATGGAATATCCAGTCAGGATTGTCTGTTTTGCAGTTATGGGTAAATGGGTTTGAAGCTGGGGAGAGGGTCTGGGTATCAATTTGGAAGTAAGTACTTGGAATGCATGCATCCTTGTTTATCCTTCTTATTATCTCAAAAATTTGCTGCTGTTAGGATATCTTTATACCTCTAGCATTTTATGCACTGATTATATCCTGCCTGGGATCAATATGTCTCTGTCTCTTACAGTTTTTGCTCTACTTGGAATTGTTTCTACCTGTTGGTATATTTAGTTCCACTCTCTGATTCTTCTCTAGGCATCTTAGATTATAGAGCTCTCCTATTGGAAAGTGTTCCTTACCTCCCAAATCCTTCACTCTTAACATCTGGAGATGAAGATTGCTTTTGAGGGAAAAAATAATCAAAGTCCTTTAAGAATGCCTTATATTCATATGTGTTTATAGCAGAAGGGGTAAATGCATACTAAATATTATTTGCTCTTCTAGGCACTACCGCTTTGGAACCATTACTTTGCTTCCTGGCTCTGAATGATTTGCTTTTAATTTCTCAAAATAAACATTAGAACATTTCTTTTACTTAAACAAAAGCCATTAAACCATTCTTTGTGGAGCAGTGAGCTTCCATACTGATATTGTTCAAATATACAGAAGCAATTTTGTTATTGCTATTTTATTATTTTGTGTCTTTAGGCAGATCATTTAACCCACTTGAACTTTAGTTGCCTGGCATGTGAGAGACATGCATAATATTTTGCTATGATTGCTAAGTTAATTACGGTGTGAAGGAATTTATGACATGATCAGAAGAACTTTTTTTTCTCCTTTCCAGATGTTACTGTTTATGAAGATCATTGGATTGGTGAGACAGTACTACAATCAACATTTACCAGTCAGTTATTAAATCTTGGGAGTTACTCATCTGTCCAGTCTGAAGAGTGTAAGACACATTTTAAATATAATAATTTCCTAGTATTTAAAGTATATATGCATATTAGAAAAAGCTACAGCAATGTGAGAATACATATGCCCAAGGTTATTCAGGGAAGTGCCTATAATTGCAAGACACTGGGAAAAATCGGACTGCTCCTGCATAGCAGAACAACTGATTACATTGTGGTACATTTCCATAGTGAAATACTATGCAGCCATGAAAAAGAATGAGAAAGAGCTCTGTGAACTGTTAGGGAGTGATTTCCAGGACATACTGTTATGTGAAAAACACAAAGCTCATCAAAGCATACATAGCATGCTTTGTATAAGAAAGAGGGGAGTAATAAAATATATGTGTATCTCATTTGTGCAAAAAAAAAAATGCAGGAAAGAAAACAGAAACTAAAGAGACGAGTTACCTACAGAGTGGGTGGGAAAAGGGACAGAAGGAAGGAGGAAATGGAAATAGGGTAGCATTGAGGGGGAGGGAGTAACACTTCTCTGAGTGGATCTTTTTGCGTAGCTTTGACTCACCGAGAATCATAGTGCTGCTTCCCAAACCCACAGTAAACCAAATGAGTGGAGGGAGAAGCCCCAAAGAAATGCCACTAACAAATGAACCTGACCATATTACAAAGGAGGGTGGGGGAAGGCAAGATCAAACCTCAGTAACTGGATTCTGCAAGGCCAAGGACAAAAGGAGGGCATGGGTGCTGCAGTCTGGTTAGTAGAAGTGCTTCTTAGAGGGGTGTGGGTTAGCAACAGCCTGGAAACTGGAAGCAACAAAATGTAAAAAGTCAATTTCCAATTTGGGGATTTCTTTAAAAGGTGTAAGTGTTATCCTTTGTTAGGAGTATTTGAAGTTGCTGCATCTTGGAGAGCATATTTCCATGGAGCTAAATGAGTTGTAAGTAAAATTCACCATAGTTAATAGATGTTAATACAATAGAAGAGTAAGGAATGTTTTGAAATCATGAAAGTAACATGGTATGCAAATATTTTGCAAGGGATCGGGGAGATAAATGTTGTAGGTAGAGTTGGTTTTAAGACTGATTTACATTCAAGTAAGGCTGATCTGTTTCAGTCATTTCAGAAAAATCTTAGGACCTAATTCTAGATGGAGACTATCACATGGAACCCCTGGGAAGCTTCAGGTTTTTGTAGAACAAAGAGGAGAACCTTGAAATAGTTAGAGAACCTTTAAAGGTTACTTCAAATTCTTTCTTTTTATACTTATATAGGAATTTATATTGCCCTGTTTTTCATAGGTTGGTAGCTAACATATATTCTAAGTCTTTTTAATTTGATTTAGGGGAATGGTTATCAGTTGGTACTTTGAGAATATTATAATTGTTTTTCTGAAAGAATAAATCAATTTGATTAGGTTTTTGTTTTTGTTTTTACAAGTACTTACAGCTCATGAAACATTCTTCTGATCAATATATTGTGCTTTTATTTATTTATTTATTTATTTATTTATTTATTTTTTAATTTTTTTCCTAGGCAAAGAACTTTATTAACCTTGTTTCAAACTTTATTCCCAGGCTTCTTCAGCTTAATTAGCTGCAAAGAATGAATTGTGTATAAGCAAAAACTGAAAAGAGCTGCAGTGTCCAAGGGGCTTGGGCTTAAAAATATTAGAGATCTAGATTTTATCAGATCCATGAACAAAATTTTAAAAAGCAGTCATAATATAAAATAGCAGCTCCCAGTAACTTCTTCAAGTTTTATGTTCTTCAGAAGTTGACTCAATTCAGTTTGCTTCATTCTTGGAAGCTTCATCAAAATTCTCCACAAGATCTGGAACTTCATCATCATCATCATCCTCTCCAGTAGCAAGTGGTGCTTTTCCATCCACAGATTGTTTGGGCAGAGCTTCAGCCAGTCTTCTTAAACTAGTCAGACTGTCTGCACCAAGTTGGTTTAAGATACTGGGTAGCATTTCTGTCAGCTGCTTTGTCTCAGCATGGCCTGTAATGGTGAAAGTGTTCGCTGCCAGTGATGCCTGAACTTTGGGGTTGTTAAAATGGATCACTGTTCCTTGGTTTGTGAACATATTCACTTCTTCAATACCAGAGATATTGTTTACCCCTAACTTCTTTAAGGAGAACTGAAGTTTTTTATCATCTGCTGTAGCCGTTCTATGAACCACCTTCTTCTTTCGGCGAGCAGTTCCTTTCCCACCAATGCGCACTTGTGCTTGCAGTTTGGCGAGTTTCTCCTGGTTCGTGATAGTTTCTTTCATCTTGTTGGAGTGGAAATGGGAGCGCGCGGGGGAATAGGGTTGGCGCTCAGGGGGTCTCGGGCGGACCAGCTGAGATTAGGTGCACACACGCGGGGACGCAAGATGGCCTTTTATTTTTTTTTTATATATTATGCTTTTAGAGAAGACTTCTGTTCTTTCCTCATTATAGTGAGGTGTTACATGTGATAGGACATAAATTTATCTTAAGTATTATTAAATTGAAATGAGTAAGTATATAAATCAAAGGTTAATACAATGTTTTCGTGAAGTAGATGATTTTAATTGGAATCTAAGTAATTCCATGTTTCTGTATTATAAATCAGGGATAAATAAATACTTGGATATCAGGGATCTTTGTATTTTCCCCGAAAAGCTCCACATTATAGACAAAGAATGAAGCCCAGAGAAGTTATGTACGAGTTATCAGAACTCATTGTTGACAGAGTCAGAATTTGAACCCGTTTGAATGTTGATTCCACACGCGCTGGGAATATTGCGAAAGAGGGATCAGGATGTCTGGCGGATGAATTGGAGCCCTGGATGGAGCTCTTGGAGTTGGGTTTTGCTGTAATCTAACAGGTCTTATGTCTTCCTCTCTTGCACTCATCCTGCTTTCATGCCATCTGTCCTTTTCTCTTATGCTCCTTGCTTTGTTAGTGATACCACCTTTGCTTCATAAAAGTCATGGAGAAATGGAGTCATCTTAACTAGAATGAATTTCAGGTATCAGGTTCTAAAAACCTTAAAACATTTGTTTTTATCCATGCACTGAGCTGTGCAAGGAATCTTGATGCCATCTTTCATCTTTTCTGTACCCTCTCCATCTCATTGTTTCTTGGAGTCCACCTCTGAACTGTTTCACAAATCTGTCACCCCTCGTCCCTTTATGCAGTCTTGCCTGGTTCCCAGCACTCATTGTCTCCTGCTGGATGGCCACTGGCCTCCTAAGTGTTCTTCCTACTCTCTCTTCTGTGAAAATTGATTCCTCCACATTAAGGGGTCTGTGAGCTTGGATGGGAAGGCATTACGTCTTTACTTTTTCTGATAGCTAACTGAAAATGAGCATCTGCTTCCATTATGCATGAGGCAATGATCCACAGTAATATTAGCAGTACTTGGGGTTTGGTCACCAATGGAGAGCACGTATATTTTCATATCACATATTATAGTTGTCGAAGATAACTTGAATATCATCTATGCCCGTCACTACTTTGAAACTACAGTAGTTGTTACGTACTCTATTATATATTGTTATTTAATGTACTAATGAGGCACAAATTATCTGTTGAAAAATATTTGATTGCTGTATTTCCATATAGTTGGTTTTGCAATCTTATTTTATACATTGAAAAATACTATTTTGTAATGAAAATGCTCTATAATTAGATAATGGTAGTAGTTGCACAACATTGTGAAATACTAAAAAACACTGAATCATACACTTTATTTAAAAAAATTTATTTTTAGGGTGTTATGCTGAGTGAAATAAGTCAATCAGAGAAAGACATGTATCATATGACCTCACTGATATGAGGAATTCTTAATCTCAGGAAACAAACTAAGGGTTGCTGGAGTGGGAGGGATGGGGTGGCTGGGTGATAGACATTGGGGAGGGTATGTGCTATGGTGAGCACTGTGAATTGTGCAAGGCTGTTGAATCACAGATCTGTACCTCTGAAACAAATAATACAATATATGTTAAGAAAAAAAAAAGAAGAAAATAGCAGGAGGGGAAGAATGAAGGGGAGTAAATTGGAGGGGGAGACGAACCATGAGAGATGATGGACTCTGAAAAACAAACTGAGGGTTCTAGAAGGGAGGGGCGTGGGGGGAAGGGTTAGCCTGGTGATGGCTATTAAAGAGGGCACGTTATGCATAGACCACTGGGTGTTATGCACAAACAATGAATCATGGAACACTACATCAAAAACTAATGATGTAATGTATGGTGATTAACTTAACAATAAAAAAAATTAAAGGAAAAAATAAAAAAAATTATTTTTATTTTATTTTTTTTTTAAGTAGGCTCCACGCCTAACATGGGGCTTAAACTCACAACCTTGAGGTTTAGTGTTGTGTGCGCTACCAACTGAGCCAGCCAGATACCCCAAATTATACACTTAAAAAGGGTGAATTTTATATATGTGAATTATAGCTCAGTAAAACTTTTTTTTTAAAAAATGCTATTCTGATAATCATATGCTTCATCAGACTACCAGAAGCATCTGTAATATGTAAGGGAGTACAGATCCCTTTCTCTTTACTTGGAAATATACCCCGTCCTCCATTTACGACCTAGAAAACTAGGACATTTTTTTCCAAAACCCAGCTCAAATATTCCTTCAATAAAGCCTCTTCCAACTTGCCTGGGCAGTTGTTTCTGTGTGTTCTTGGGAAGGCTTACATGCATCTGTTATACTCTAAGCCCAGTATTTGTTACTGACTATCTCAAGGTTGATAATTCCTTCAGTGTGAGTATCATGACAAGATACGTCTTTGTATCCCTAGCACCTGGCATAATGCCTGGCTCATAGTGGATGGTCCCCTGATGAGTAAATGAATAATGAGGCTTTAGTGTAGCATAAGAAATACATTAGGATGAAAATGTTAATGGAAGGAAAGAAGAATCATTTGTTTTTTTCCTGCTGAAATCAGCAAATAGACCCAACCTTCTAAAAAAGTACTTAACTGCTTTTTGCTAAGATCTTATTTTGGTCAACAATCCACTATATATTCAAATATACCTCCCTTACCTTCAGGGAAATTAAAATTTAATCAGCAAGCCTCATCAATCTGTCCATTTGAAATGTGTGCATTTTATTGTATGTGAAGTATATCTCAAAAAATGAGAAAACATTGAAACAAATAATTAAAACATAGAGGAAAACATCTAAATGACATAAGGACCGAAGAACTAAACAACTAATCTAACCATCAGGAGAAATATTACAACGTAGCATATGCTCAAATGCCACATGAAAGCTGGAGAGAAAAACTCTCTACGGGAAGAAGTCACTGGAAGCCGCTCTATGGTGGTTGTTTTTGTGTGTAGCATTTGCATAGATAGAGGGGATGAAGCATTGCAGCCAGTGAGAGTGGTGAGGACTGAGGCTTGGAAGTGGGGAAGAGGAAAGCATGTTCAGGGAAGGAGTCATTAGGTGACTCAAGTGTATGGCAGATGAGAAACATAAAAGTCTTTTTTTTTTTTTTTTTTAGTTTTTTTTTTAAGATTTTATTTATTTGTTCATGAGAGAGAGAGAGAGAGAAGCAGAGGGAGAAGCAGGCTCCCAAGGAGCAGGGAGCCCGACGCGGGACTCGATCCCAGGACCCTGGGATCACGACCTGAGCCGAAGGCAGATGCCTAACCATCTGAGCCACCCAGGCGCCCGAGAAACATAAAAGTCTTGAGGAAGAATAACAGTGGTTGGGATGGTCAGGGAAGGTGTGAGCAAATCAGACTGCAGGGATTAGGGGACTGATTGGGTAAAGCAGGGTAATGGAGGGGTCAACAGAAATAACCGAAATACTGGTCTTGGTTAATTGGTAGAAAAATGATATTATTAACAAAATAGAGAAGGGAACAGGGCAAGTTGTTTTGGAGATGGTAAATAATTCTAATTCCCTTGGTTAAAAATAGCAAGCTTATTTGTGCACCTAAGCATTTAAGAAAAAGTTACATATTTTTAGAAATGAGAGCATGTTTTCCATTTAATCACACTTTACAACATAAAATACATTTCTAAGAAAATATTGTGTTGTTAAAAAATATAATTTTGCCATCTTTCATACATGTGTGTGTCTTTCTTTCTTAGACTCCAATATAGTTAATGATGTTGTACTTCGAGACTTACTGGCATATGTGTCTTCAAAACATTCCTATCTCAGGGATCTTCCTCAGAGGCAGCCCCAGAAAATGAACAGTATAGAATTTGTAGATTTGGAGCAGCTGCAGCCGGACGTATTGGTCCACGCAGTACTAAGAGTTATTGATATCACTGTACTGACAGGTAAATATTTGGGGCACTGTCTTGATTTTAGATTATAAAATAATTAAGATACCAGACTTTTGTAGTGTATCATTTGGTTATCACTATTATATTTATCATTGGACATTAAACTAAGGTGTCCTATGTGATAAAGTAATGCTGGCTGAAATATTTCTTTTCCAGAGGCATTATACAGTTATAGAGGACAGAAGCAAAGGAAAGTTATGTTAACAGTGGAACAGGTCCAAGGTCAACATTATGTGCTTGTATTATGGGGTCCTGGAGCAGCCTGGTACCCTCAACTTCAAAGGAAAAAAGGTAAATATACCAAAAAGCATTTAACCTATTTATAGTTAGGTAAATGATTAATGCTTATGAGCCGAACATGAAGAGCATCTTAAGAGATTAAGATAGACTACATTCGAAATAGTAGGTGATCATAATTGAATATTCGTCTTTGGATTTCTTCTGTTATGATTTTATACCTCCTGTAAGCAATTTCGTGATCTAAAAAGTCCTCTCTAATTAACAGAGGCAAAAGAAAAGTTTCCATTTATTCCCAGGTTTACTACTTTACCTTTTTAGTGAAGATCTTACCTCCTTCAGGAAACGTTCTTTAAAAATTGAAATCTGGAGACACTTCTACAGTTTTTGTCCAGCGAAAGTACTCTGATAAATAAACGTCTCTCTGGTTATAAGGCAGATGTTAGGGGAGCTGCATTAACCCTTTCAAGTCACAATGTTACTGTTGTGTAAATTAGTGTCTTCCAGGTTTTTATACCAGTTGTTTTAAAAGTGTGGACTATTAGCCATCCATAGAATGTTCATGTTTAAAATATGACCCGTGACGCCATTTTTCTTTAAAGCATGAGTTACTAATAATTTATCATGAATTTAATTAAATGGCATTGATGTTTCAATAAAATAATATAATATCTTGATTTCAATATTATATTGTGAGATCCTTTCGTTGTAACAGTCAGAAATAGTTTAATTAGTGGCTTGTGAGTTATTTTATCCTGCTGAATTAATCCAGAGATTGGTTAGGTGTGTGACTCATTCTTTTTTACCTGAAAGAGTTAATGCCTCTTCCCAAAATTCTACCTACAAAATGGTTATCTAAGGATAGGATCTGTCACATTTTCTCTCTTAATCATTAATAGCCTATAACCAGGATTTGAGGTAAGTCTGACTTTTGACTTTTATGTTAGGATCAAACAATGGCAAATATTTGTTCAGTTGAGAAATCTGACAAACATGTGTCAGTGGTAGACTGACCATCATTATTGACCACTATATCATAGCTGGGAACATGAGTCTAGTGAATGTGGAACAAAATGTAGGTCAAAGGTGCTATTCCATTTGCGATGGAGATGTAGCAGACTGCTCCATGCTTACTATGAATATTCTTCTAAAAGTTGTAGTTATTTGGCTAATAGAAGAGACATTCTAGTTCTCTCTAGACAATTCTATGGTATTTAGGTTAATGCTGGAAATTTGTGAATCCAGGAATTAAGATATAGTTGTTCTTTGTTCATTCATTCATTCAGCATACTTTTATAATCATCATTTTTAAGTTTTGACATCCACCTCAATACCTCAAAATTATTCTTTTCAAAATGGGAAAGTACCAATTTTGAAGGCTTATCTAAGTAAGTGATTCTACTTTCAGAAACTGTTAGCATTTTATCTATTCATTTAGTATTTCTTGAGGTGTTCTCTGTATTAACCTCCATACTGGGCACTGGTTTTCCTTGTTCCTGAAGGTAACATTGAGATGATATAATCAGAAATGATCATCAAGTAGTCATTGTTGAATACTGGAGATCACAGAGTTGATGTTTTGGGGAGAAATAATAAGAAATCCCCAATTCACATTCTTTCAAAATATGCATGGGAATTTGTAGCAAGGACTGATCACAGTTTAGGTCCTAATGAGGGTGGAATAGGGGCATACACTACACTTCTTAGGAATAATTGGGTACATAAAAGAAGCTATTCAGAACTAAGTGCCATTCCAATGCAATATTCTGAAAGTATTTTACAGAAGTCTAATATTTTAAAAATATAACAAATTATAGTAAAGTACTCTGTGACGTTACTAATTAAGCACAGAGTAATGCAAATGATCCCAACGTTTGTAATTATACTTAATGCAAAATCATAGTTATGTCTGTATGGAGGTTTGAAATCTATTCACATCCTTAATTCATGATTCAAATATAGAAATGTATTAGAAATTGTCTCAATACCAGTCTCCTTCAGACCTACTGGTCTAATCTGCACACGACTCCTTTCTGTTACTTGAATTTGCCAATCTTTTTACTGCCTTGGGATCTTAAGTTTACATGTTTCCTCTGCCTAGAGTGCTCCCCACTACAGGTCCCTGCATGGATGTCTCCTTCATTTCTCAGCTTCAATGTCATATCCTCAGGGGGGCCTCACACATACATAATCATTATCAGATTCGCTCTTTGAGGTCCATTCATGCCACTTAACACAATCAGGATTATCCAGCTTATTCGCTTGCTTGCTAATTAACTAATTTTCTCCATAGATTATAAATTCTGTGAATACAAGCATTCTGTTAAGCTTGTTCAGCCCTGTATCCTCATTACACAGCACTGTGCCTGCCCTCGTAGTGCTTTCTTTGTGAATGAACAAATGAAGAATAAAATACAGATCAAGCAACCACTCAAAGTCTCCAGTGTTGAAGGAATAAGAGACTCAAGTTTGAGGAGGGAATAATTTTGTTTCAAATGATAATACAGAATCACCAGTTTGAAAATGCATGCACACAAAGTTTTGGCAACCTGTGGAATGTATTAACAAATTATATTTAAACTTGGGCACAGAGGGCTTTTAGTGAACTGAACTAGAACTCTTCTCTGGTTAACTTAACCAATTAAGGGGCATATATTTGAAGTATACAGGAGTATCTCATGGTACATAGGGTAAGAGTGCTGATGGGTTCAGGGGTACTTAAGAACCAGGAGCTGAAATGCTTTGTGAGTCCCGGGCAGCTTCTCCAGCTGTCTGCTTTATTCACTCAGTGCAGACTTTTTCTGCTTTTCAACCATATGGAAGGCAGCAGAAGATGCTTACTCTGTAGCTCCTGATTTTCCTTTTCCTTTTAAGAGACCAGTCCATTTCCAAATCCCAGCAAAGAAAATCTGATTGCCCAGACTGAATTTGATTCAATCAACTATGGCCTCGGGGACAGGGTGGGAAAGTAGAATAGGAATGCCTGAGCTTGTTTCAGAGGGTCAGGCAACAGATGAGAGGGTCATTTGTGGTCTGGGTGGACACACAAAGGTATTCGCCACCAAAGATATGAATGTTCACTAGCCCAGAAAGACGTATGTGATGTTACTATTTAGTTTAAAAAGTAGATTATAAAATTTCATGTATAATAGGATCCCATTTTAATAAAGCAGGTAGGTGAGTATGTGTATACATGAAAAATTTGGAAATACAGATATTAAAATGCTAGCAATGGCTACGTGTGTTTTTTTCTTTATGCCTTTAGTTCGAGTTTTGTGCATGTGTGAATCTGCATTTATTTTTTACACATTTAGTAAAAACTTCAAACTTAGTAAATAGAGAATAATATAATGAAGTACCCATTATAGTACCCATTATACCCATTATATTAGAACATTGGCCAATCATATTTCATCTATTGCTACTCTTTTCTTTTACTGTATAATATTTTATAGTAAATATATTTTATTTATAATTAAGAAATAAAGCAAGCTTTTTCCTTTTGAAAAGAAGAGCAGATAAGGTTTGAAATAGCTAGTTAACAATTTGAAAAAAAAATAGAATTAAATTTATACTTCATATTTATGCCAAAATAAATTCCAGATGCATTAGAGATTCAATTTTTTTTTTTTAAGAAAGAAACAGTAGTAGAAGAAACTATAAGCAAACTTATTTGGAATGTAAAGATTGGTAGGTTAAACAAAATGCAGCAACAGGAACTATACATAAAAATCACCATATACCAAATTAAAAGGCAAGTGAAAAACCAGAAAAAAAAAGTTGCATTTTGTCAGAAAATAATGCAATAAACAAAAGACAAATATCTGTAAGTATAAATGGGCAATAGATATGAACAGGAAGTCCCCAAAGAAGAAATAAAAATGGCCAATGAATGTATGAAAAAAATTTACTTATTAGTAATTGAAGGTACACAAAATAATGACAGTACATGATTTTTCTCCTGAGTAATTGATAGAGAACATAAAGGGGAACAGCCACTCTCATGAACTATTGGAAATGTGAACTGGCAAAATCTTTCTTGAGGACAACCAACAGTGCATTATGAAAACCGAATTTGGAATACCTTTGGCCTAATAATTACACTTCTAGGAATTTATCATGGCTATGCATAAAGACGTAGCTAAAAATATATTTATCACAGTACTGTTTATAATAGTAAAAAAACAAAAAATAACCAACATGCCCCCAAACAAGGAATTGCTGTATTAATTTTTAAGATTTTGGCATATCTGTGCCAAAGTATGGGCATATTATGCAGTATTTTAAAATAATATAGAATAATACTTAATGACATATAAATCCAATTGAAAACAACTGGATGTCCACTAAAATTGTTAACTGTGTTTATCTGGGGGTGTTGAGATTATGGCTGTTATTTATGTACTTTAATCTGATTTCTAAGCATGTATTTTGTAATAAGACAAGCAAACTATTTTAAAAATAGTGATTGTTTTTAAGCAGTGACTTGGAATATATATGCTTTAGCTCTTTCTAAGGATGCTCTGTCTATAGAGACTTACTGTATAGACTTACTTGTTTCAAAATTCTGAATTTTTGGGGGCGCCTGGGTGGCTCAGTTGTTAAGCGTCTGCCTTTGGCTCAGGTCATGATCCCAGGATCCTGGGATGGAGCCCCGCATCGAGCCCCCGCATCAAGCCCCCTCATTGAGCCCCCGCATCGGGCTCCGCGCTCAGCGGGAAGCCTGCTTCTCCCTCTCTCACTCCCCCTGCTTGTGTTCCCTCTCTCTCACTGTCTCTCTTTCTGTCAAATAAATAAATAAAATCTTCCAAAAAAAAAAAAAGATTCTGCATTTTTCAAGAAGAAACTAAGGAAAAAAAACTAAGGAGGCAGTGTGGGGGAGGGGTGTGAATTAGCTTTATGGCCTGAAGTAAGTGAAAACTAAAAGAACAGCTATTATTACTAGAAAACTCAGTGCTAAGAGATCTTTTGTTTTATTAGAGTTTAAAGTTGAATTTATTGATATAGAATAGGATTATTTGGCAGGAAGCTCTGTGCCACTGCAGTTTTAAGGA